ATAAGGCCCGTAGGACTCAAGTAGAACCCTTTGGGCTCAGAAGGCGAGAACTTGGCAGCCACATAACAGAGAGCGATGGTTGGCACCGATCAAAATAAAACGGGAAAAGTTAAAACAAAGGATGCCTTCCGTGAAGAACCCAACAGGGGGTTTGTTCTGGATGCCGATCCAAACCCAGCAAAGCCATGGTTGATCTCCAGAGATATGGAAAGGCTGGGGAGGAGACAATGCTGAAAGAGATGTGTTGGACTGGCATTTTCAAATGCTCCTTCGGGGCCCTGGATGCCAGGGAGGAGCCAGGAAGCCTCAAAATGAACCCGTCTCACTCTCCACACCTATGTTTTTCCTCCTCACTGTGGTTCATCTGCGTGCCCATCACAACCACTGAGCACCCTTCTGGCTGGCATCCTCAGCCACCCGTGTTCTCTCTCTGCCTTCGGATGCCACGTTTGAGCCGTCTCTGCTTGTACGAACACCACCTCCGGCCCCCAGCCGCCCTCCTGCTTCCTCCTCCGCCTCGCTAATAAGCTCGGCTGGGAGAGAGACGGACCGGCCTTCTCGTCTTGAGTGGCCAAATTAAAAGCCCGCCAGCAGCCTTCCCCGTGGCCGCTTGGCTCGCAATTTCTGGAGCGCCGTTTTTCAAGGAAGCAGGCAGGAGGTGCCAGGTTGATTGAGAGCCCGCTCCGGCAGACTTTAAAGCTAAAATATCCATCCACAGATCACCTAAAATCCACTTTTTGCCCTTCCAGGAATGAAAATAAAATATAATAAAAATCCAGGTGCAACTGAGCCTTACGACAGACAACTTGATTACTCAAGAAATTGGGAAGCAAGATATAGAGATCTTTCAAGAGCCTAGACCTCATTGAGGCAGACCTCTTGTGCTTGAGCTGTTCCATTTCATATTGCAGGCTGGTCATCGAACGAACATCCCTTTAACAGAGGTTTTTTTTTAAAGTTACCTGGCTTTTGAGGCTGATCCAATTTATCCCTTATCCAACTCAATCTAAGCTCTGGATACAAACCAATCAGTATATTTATTTCACCCGGGAATCACATCTGACCTTTTTCGATTCAGTCCAGACCTCCTATAAATTGGCTCAATAAGGGCAGGTTGGTTTGCAACTTGTGTGAATCCAGCACATGGTCTTCCTCAAATCATTCCTCCTTGTAGCTTCTAAATAAAGAGGCATGTGTTATGGGCCTCCAAGGTGCATCTGAGTTACGAACGGACCTTAAAAGGGTTTTGAAGGTTTTTCAGATGCTCAAGGAGTGGCTTGACTAGGGTCACCATGCTCCAGAGAGTTACCACAGTCAAACAGGGATTTGAACGGAGGTCTCCTGAATTCCCATCTATCCAATACATCACGCTGAACTGACATACTATCATGGAGTTGGAAGGGGCCTCGAAGGCCATCCGGTCCAACCCCCTGCTCAAGGCAGGGACCTAACTCAAAGCAAATCGGACAGGGGGCGTTCCAGCTTTCTCTTGAAGGCCTTCAGCGTTGGAGCGATCACCCGCTCGCTAGGTCATTGGCTCCGTTGTTGTACTGCTCGAACAGTTAAGGAGTTTTTCCTAGCCTTCAGCCTTGGAGTGATCACCTGCTCGCTAGGTCATTGGCTCCGTTGTCGTACTGCTCGAACAGTTAACTGAGTTTTTCCTGGTATTCAGCTGAAATCTGGCTTCCTGTTACTCGCGCCCATTCTGACGTGTCCCGCACTCTGGGAGGATGGAGGACAGATCCTGCCCCTCCTCTCGATGGACAACCTTTCAAGCCTTTGGAAAATGCTCTCCTCTCTACCCTCCGTCATCTTGTCTCAAGGCTAAAACTGCCCAGATCTTTCTCTCTTTCCTCCCAGGGCTTGGTTTCGGGTATCACTGGATCAATCCACTTGTGATGTGTTTAGGACATGCTTAAAAAACAACCACCCAACAACGACATAGCAATGCATCTCAGCCGGGGTAGTAATATTTATTAGCTGCACCAGAACCTTTTCTTTTCAGCAAAATGAATCTGCTTTAAAACAAGCTGTGGAAAAAGCATGCAACCCCACCCCCCCTGTTTCCCCACAAAATCCCATTTCTGGGAGGTTTCCAGAAGCACCATCCAATGCTAAAATCAGGCGCCTTGTCCCTGTTTTAAAGCAGAAGTATGAGATTTGCCCTCCACGGTCACGACTGCCCATCCGGTGGGCCACCGCTCAGCCCACCGGGAGGGTGGGTGGACCTCCCCAGGTCCCTCACAGACGTGCTTTGATCACCTTGGATTTCAACAACAGCTCCTTGCAAGGCACGTTCGAGGACGAATACATGCAAGGATGACCACGGCTGCCTTGAACCGGAAAGAAGACACCTGCTCTTCATAGGCTAGTCCTTCTTCAGGGAAGTTGTCCAGAATTCGAACCCAGATCTATACTGATCACACACCCCTTTTTTCCCATTGGGGTTACACATCTGTATTACGATTCCCCCCCCACCCCCCAGTCTTTCTCACTTTGCCCTGGTGGGAATTAATTCCTCCATTCCTTCAAAATATTTAGCATCTCTTGCCTGTCGCTCCACGGGAAATGTTTTACATACGAAAAGAGGGTGCCAGCGCTGTTGTTGCTCTCTGGCGCCCGGCTTGCCATTCAGTCTGGCAGGTCTAAGCCTTCAATGCGTTCCCCGCCTGCCTTCTTCACTTCCCATCAACATGACAAAGGGATCCTTTCTCGCTCCCGGTTCTACTACAGAGGGCAGGTTTTTTGAAATCATCCCAAAATCGAGCTGAACTGGGATTCCTCCCCCCCCATATTACACAGTCTTAAAAAAAACTGTTGCTCTCCCGTTCCCCACCAAAAAAACCCCACAACAACCCCCCCGTGTGTTTTCTCTAGGGCTTCTGTATACAAGGGACCGCCAAGATGCTTGAGTTTTCCTTTGAAACAAACTGGGAGAGATTTTTTGCTTTATTCCTCCAACGCCATAGCTCCTCTTCAACCTCCTCCTGAATGACTGGATGGGTGTGGGAAAAAAGCCCCCTTCTTTTCCATATTTTCGCCACAAGGCAACGGTCGGGCTTTGAATAAAGCTAGCAGGACGTGATGCTCACAGCTGTTATTTGCAGTGAGATTTCCGCGCACCCCCCCCTCCTTATTTCCTGCTCCCAGGTTTTCACAGAAGAAAGCAAAAGCCTTCGGGGAGCCCGGATTTCACGGGTCTCGAGAGTTCAATCCACGCTATTGTCAGGAAGTCAACGCCAACTTTGATGCAAAAGAGAGAGAGAGAGAGAGAGACCCTCAAATTTAAATTCCACCAAACTCTCTATTTCATGCTGCTTCCAAGGTGCCTCTATGTGCCAAACCGCAGAGGCTGGCTGTTCTGATCCCACCGCAGCGGTGCGGTCTGGACCTGGTTTTTCATCTTGACTTTACAGGGAGCTCTCCAAGGTGGGGAAGTCAAGCACTCCTTTAAAGTTCTGGACAAAAGCCGGAGCGGATCCACCCTTCAGGTTGCCCATCATTGTGTTTTTTTTGCCGCTACAAGGCCAACATGATTTTAATTCAATCTTAATTTTCATTGCCATGCATGCATTCTCTGGGTGCTGTCCTACTTAAAAGTTGTTGTAATTAAAGGGGGCTGAACTCCGAACTTTTCCTCCTCCTTAGGAGATCTAAGGCGGCTTACCACTGACAGCACATTTTTTTAAAAAAAGCACTATATAAATAGCATTATTGAAGAAACAAACATATATGCACATTTTTTTTAAAAAAATCCAGCTTTTCCTCCTCCTTAGGAGATCTAAGGTGGCTTACCACTCGTTCGTTCGGTTAGTCGTTTAGTTGTGCCCACTCTTCGTGACCCCATGGATCAGAGCGAAACAAACATATATGCACATTTTTTTTAAAAAAATCCAAGTTTAAAAACCTCAGGAAAAACCTGGACATTAAAAAACCAGCATTCCCGAGAGATCATACCGCTTAAAGGCCTGCCCGAAGAGGAAAATCTTTGTCTGACAACAGGGGCGTGGGCACAACCTGGCTTTTTCGGACAGTACATCCATTCCACTGCTTGGGAGCCACCACCGAGAAGGCTCTCTTTCATGTCCCTGCCAGGCATGCTTGGGAAGGGGGTGGAACCGAGAGAAGAGCCTCCCCAGATGGTCTGAAAAGGCTCATATGGGGTGCTACGATCCTTCAAAACCACCTGGGTCCAAGACATATAGGGTTTTTAGATAATAACGAGCACTTTGAAATGGGCCCAGAAACAGACTGGCAGCCAGAGAAGTGGGAGTTACATGATCCCTCTAGCCAGCTATTTGTATAACTTTCATCTTCCTTCCAACCTCTTCAGGTACACCAAAAATGGAGACACTGCGTGAGTTCTATTATTAATCTGCACCTCCCAGTCAAATAGATTCTAATGAAATTCTAGCTTGCACTTCACACTGTCTCAAATTTATTCTGGCATTGTGACGTCAAAAGAGCCATAACAATGTGCAGAGTCATGGTTTTTATTATTAAATTATCTGTTTAGTGAAGAGCTTTTCTAGACGTCTGGGCAATTGAGAGCTGTTAGCTTTACAAAAGACCAGCCTCTGGTGAAAACAGCTCGGATGGATTTGTAGAAATGAACCATGAAAGCATTTTTGGGGGGGGGGGTGTCACGGCAGACCATCCTGATGAAGCCTGGCATGCCAAACTTTACGACTGTGCTGCCTCTTATATTCTGCCTTCCGCAGCTTTGAAACACAGCCCAGGCAACTGAATATATGGTTTCTAGACATGGACCGTGGTATCTGGAGATCTGGATGGGATGCGTTGTTTGATACCCTGTCTAAACAGATTGACTTTCAATCCATCAACAGGCCAGATGCTCGCTTCCCTCTTTTTATTATTATTAATTTTTTTAAAAAAAGCGAAGCAGCTGGAATGAAAAGTACCATGGGGGAAAATGAAATGCCTAACTTTCAGAACAGGTAGCTAATTGACTAACGCAGGAACATCTCCGAGGAGCTCACCTGGTTCAGGTAAAGGGCAAAGCCGCAGATGGTGCTCTGTTTCATCCTCCATCCGGAGACGGTCGGGGGGAAAAGGCAAGGCAGAGCTGGTTACGGAAGCTGACTCAGCTGCACATATCTGGCAAGCCGTTTCTCTAGGGGGTGAGGAAGGGAAGCAGAAAAAAAAAGGGAGAGGGGGCAGTCAAGAAAGGGCTTTCATTAAATAAAAGCTACTCATTACAGCAGAGGCATAATCAAATTGCAAACCACCCAGAGAAGGTTTTAAGCACCGCAGGGTGATATAGAAGCAGTATGCTTTCCTTTTGGGGACTCCGAATCTCAGGATTCCCTTCTCAGTAGAGTCACAGGCCAGGCCAGTTGGGGGTTTCCAAGAGGTGTAAATCCTCCCAAGTGATTTTTCCAAAGTCTGGACTGGCAAGGTGCTAGTCCCTGTTGATTTGGCACCAGTTAGGCCTTATCGAGAATCCTGTGTCCAGTTCTGGACACTACACTTTACAGATGCCAACGAAATGGAGCAAGTTCAGAGGAGGACGACAAGGAGGATCAGGGACTGGAAGGAGGAAAGATGGAAAAAAACTGGGCACATTTTAGCCTTGAGAAAAGCAGACGGAGGGGAGGTAGGATAGTGCTCTTCAAAGACTTGAGGAGGAGCAGGATCTGTCCTCTATCATTCCAGAGTGCAGGACATGTAAATATATTCTTAAGGGACAGGAAGCCAGATTTTGGCTGATCAGGAAAAACCTCTCAACTGTTACAGCCGTACGATGGTGGAACCCATGACTTCAAGAGGTGGTGAGCACTACAGCGCTGTAGAGGCTTTCAAGAGGAAATCAGACCATCGTCTGATCTGCTTGGATTGGGATTCCTGCCCTGAGCAAGGGGTTGGACTGGATGGCCTTAAGTGGCCCCCTTCCCACTCCACAGTTCTATGAATCTATAAGGAACAAAACTGGCTTCTTCTTTTGGCCCAATCTTCTGCTCTCAGAAACACCAATAAATACCTTCTGCAGAGCTGGGGTGGAATCTGGTTTGACTGGGTCAAAGGGAGACCTGCGGTGGCCATCTCTTGACTTGTAGTCATAATGATCCATTTTGGCTGCCAGAGCTCCCCCCCTCCCGGCTTAACCATGGGGGGGGGGACACCAGAAATCGGAGGACAAAAGGAAGGCAAAGAAATCTCAGATCGGAGCGTTCAAGAGTTGCCTTCGTTCCACATTCACCCTGTCTCTTAACGTGTTTTTTTCCCGGCTGGGGAGAAATCGCTGGACACAACTTTTCCAAACTTCTCATCCGAGGAAGAAAGCCACTTTCCTTCCTTGGACTCAAACCTCTGCTTTGGGAAACACACCAATAAACAGCACGGAAGCGGCGGCGGCAGGCCAAACGGCAAGTGACGGCCACACGCCAAGAGATGGCCAGCCTGTGAGTCGGTGGAACGGAAGGTGACCCGACCACGCATGGTGGAAGGGGTTCTGCACTCTTCAAGCAGCCTATGGCAGCGGCTGAAGCTTCTCCGGAAGCCAGTGTCGGCACCCTCTCTGTTTCAGCTCCTTGGATCAAAGCCCCCCAAAATAAATTGACAGATGTGTCCACGCGATCAGAGCAGCACCCAGGTTCACAGGCAGCTTCAAAACTTGTAGAAGGAAAAACAAAAGTAAGAAAATATGTTGGTCATGGTGAAGAAATGTACTGGGCAATCCTTTACTAGTTTCCCTGTCTTATTTGTCTTTGGGAAGGCGCACGTCTGAGCGGCTGACTTGACACCTCAACAGAAGGGCACCTTATAAGTGAGGATTCACTTACGTGTATTATTAATCATAATCTGAGAATGGCAGAACGGGAAGGGACCTTCGAGATCATGAAGTCCAGCTCCTATCAAGGAGGGCCAGCTGGGGAATCGAACTCCCAACCTTTGGTTCTGCTGCCAGAGAGACCTCAACCCACGAGCTATCGTCATCTTAGAACAGCGCCGAGCTGGAAGGGACCCTAAGGATAATCCAGCCGTGCTTAAAAATAGTAACAACAACAAAAAAGAACTACTTTTACAAGCTGAAAAATAAAAATAAACTGTGCTTAAAAATAGTAACAACAACAACAACAACAACAACAAAAAGAACGACTTTTACAAGCTGAAAAATAAAAATAAACAGACACCTCGTTTTTCCAGAGCAGCCTCTGGTCGCTCACTCCTTTGTCGGAGAGCCTCGGCATAGCTTCGGCCATGTGCATTTCTCACTCGCCATTCTATGGCTTCAATTCCTTCCCTTCTCTCTCCGCCCCCCCGCCTTTTCCCGGTGCTCAAAACCCATGTGGGTTTGCAAAGGGAAGGGGTGCCTTATTGATTCTTTGGCACAGATGTCGGCCCGAACTTCCAGAGCGTTGCTCAACACCGACAGCCAAACTTGGCCACCCTCCAGGCAACGGACAAGCCAACGAACACCCGTCCCGAATCCCAAGATCTGAAAACAAACCCAGGACTTTTTTTTTCTTTTTTAATTTTTCCACCCGAGAAAGAAAGCCAACGGATGGGACCAGAACTCCTGCAACTCCTTCCATCTGGCTACCTGCTTTCTCTTTCTCTAAATCCACTTTATTCATCCTCTCCACCCATTCAAGGTCTCATAGGACAAAGACGGCAGTGGCTTTTTGAGTTTGCTCGGGAGAAGGCGAGGTTTTTTTGGGGAGGGGGGTTTCTGAAAGCAAAGCAAAGATTCTTTTTGCTCCAGGGCCCCTTTGAGAGGCAGCCATTCAGTGGGAAGAAAAGAGATGCAGAGAGAAAACTGAGTGGAGGGTTTGTTTTTTTGAAGGGGCACCCTGACTTCCTATGGAGGGGCAATGCAGGACTTGGCATGGCAGCCCACTCCTCAGAAAAAGACCCTTTTTGTTTTTGCCTCACTGTTGCTCTACATGCCAGCAAGTCGCCACCGACTCATGGGAACCGACGAATCAGCGCACTTCAAAATGTCCATAGCTCTCCCCCACCTTAAGAGTCTCATCTTCCAGCACTATCTCTTGCTTCATTTTGCACCGTCCCAGCCATCTAGTGGTGTCTAACTACACTACAAACGTGGGATCTCCAAAATGTCCCATCCTCCACAGCCCAGTCTGGCTTTGTAGACTTCTAGATCACAGGGGTTTAAAGTCAAAGGTGGACTGCACCTGTCTGCGGATAATCCACTCTGTCGGCATATCAGACTACCACACAGGCTCAGACTGAAGGCTCAGCGAGTCCACCATCATGTTTCTTAGATGCTCCTGTCGGGCGGGGTTTGAGCACAATGACACACTCATTAAATTCTTCCTGTTATGTGCCACCAAGTTGCCTCTGGCGTATGGCAACCTCATGAACAAGCGATCTCCAAAATATCCTTTTCTCAACCACCCTACTCAGTTCTTTCAAACTCAAAAGTCATGGCTTCCTTCAGGGAATTTGTCCATCTCATGTTTGGTCTCCCTCTTTTCCTGCGGCCTTCCGCCTTTCCAAGCACAATGGTCTTTTTCCAGGGAATCCTCTCTTTCTTCTGAGATGCCCAAAGTAGGACAGAAAGACAGACCTACGGAGCTGAAAGGCACTCTAAAGATCGTCAACTCTTGACACCCTCCATGGATGGAGGAAAAACTCCACTAGATCATCTAGAACAGGCAGCCACCTTCATTTGAAAAACTCCTGAATGAATTAGATTCCAGGAGTCCCGTTGCACTTCTGGCCACCTCTGACTCTTGGGAAGTTCGTACAAATGTTGAGATGGAAACTCCTTTCTTGAAATTTGCATTGGTTACTGTATTTTTCTCTGTATAAGACACCCCCCACTTTTCTAACCCAAAATTAAGAAATCTAAGTACAGTGGGCCCTCGACTTACGAATGGCCTTAGTTGCGAACGTTTCGGGTTACGAACCCGATCTCATCGCAAGTAGCAGACTTTACTTGCGAATGCAGATCGAGTTACGAACCCAAAAGGCAGGGAGAAAGGGCGGGAAATTTGAATTTCCTGCCTTTCCTCCCTGCCTTTGGAGCTTTCAAAAGGCTTCCTCTGATGTCAGAGGATTCGCGCCGGGCTGAGCTCAGCCGGCACGAAGGGGACTCAGCATCGGGTGAAAGGAGGGAGCCAATTTCTCCCCGGCTGCCCGGCTTGCTTTTCCATGGGAGGACTTTGGCTGGAATGGATTAATTGGTTTCCAATGCATTCCTATGGGAAATGCTGGCTCAATTTACGAACTTTCAGATTTACGAACTAACTTCCGGAATGGATTAAGTTCGTAAATCAAGGGTCGACTGTAGGGCTTAGCAAGTGCAGGGGGAAAGGGATCAAAGCACTGCATGATCACTTTGATCCCTGCTTCCCTCCCAATTGTTTTTTATCTCCTCAGCTTACTTCCGTGTATAAGACATTCAATTTTTAGTCTAAAGATTTTAGAAAAAATAGTCTTATACATGGAAAAATACAGTACTTTAAGGTCCTGGTCTGACAGTAGAGTCGCTCCTCTCATCACACAGTTCTCCGCACCATGCTTGTGTGGTGTGATGGTAAACCCACTTGGGGTTTCTGCCCAAACATTCAGAACAACCGTGTAAGGCGCTCCCATCTATTGTGGGGAAATCACTCAACTAACATCCTGCTGAAATGAGAACAGCTCGGGAGAAGTCACAGAGCTGCAGACTAAATGCTCCCGTGGGAATCGCGAAGGGCGGTATGATGGCTCCGCGCTCTTCCCAAAAAACGTGGCCTCCCGTTTTCCACCGAATGCAACTAACCCCAGTGGGGAAGCCCCGGAGACCGATGCAATGTGAAGTGGCTTCACGCAGGCACCAGGAAGGGTCCCCCGGGAAGGCGCTGAGACACACACAAACACACCCTGGTTGCACAGCACTTCGGGGAGAAAAGCACGCCTCTCTAGAGCCAAGTAACGTGCCAACGTGGAGGTGGTGGCGAAGACTCGACAGGTCGCATTGCCGGAGTAAGCAGTGGCTGCTCATTCTGGCTGCCTTCTGGGAACAATTAAGACCCTTTTTGGGAGCTGGGGGAAAAATCCAAGCACTACCGTATCTGGAGCATCGTGTGCTCCAATTTAAGCAGTCCCCAAAGGAGGCTCCGAGCAAGGCAAAACGACTTGTGGTTTTGATTTCCTGTTTATATTCCTTCCAGAATCAAGGAGATGGAAGGGGCCTCTAAGGCCATCCAGTCCAAACCCCTCCTCAGCTCAGGGATCCAACTCCAAGCATATCGGACAGAGGGTGGGCCCACTTTCTCTCGAAGGCCTCCGGCGTGGAAGCGCTCGCCCACCTCCCGAGTTTGTGGATTTCATCGTTGTATTGCTCTAACAGTTAGGAAGTTTTTTCCCCCAATGTTCAGCCGAAATCTGGCTTCCTGTCCCTTGAGCTCATGGTTGCACGTCCTGCACTCTGGGATAATGGAGGACAGATCCTGCCCCTCCTCTGTCAATGTTCAGCTTACTCCAGTTTGTTGGCATCCTTTTTCAAAGTGCGGTGTCCAAAACTAGAACACAGGACTCTAGAGGAAGCCCCTTTCTCCTCTGACAGACCGCCTTTCAAGTCTTTGAAAAGTGCTCTCCTCTCTTCCCTGTCTTCTTTCCTCACGGCTAAACAGGCCCAGTTCTTTCCGTTTCTCCTTCTAGGGCTTGCTTTCCAGCCCCTTGATCCTCCTTCCTGCCCTCCTCTGAACTTACTCCAGTTCGTTGGCATCCTTTTTCAAAGTGTGGTGTCCAAAACTGGAACACAGGACTCTAGAGGAAGCCCCTTTCTTTCCTCCTCTTTCTAAACCACAATTCAGCCCCATTTCAAATAAGCTGACTTGTTGATGTTGGTTGTTCTTGCCCTCCATTGGCCTTGCTTGACCTCACTGACCTCATCAAGCAATCACGTTCCATTGGCTGTGTTGCGCGGTGATGTGGCACCAGGTGGGCTGATGTGGCTTCTGTAGAACCTCCATGCCCAGGAGCAGTTTATCTTCGATGGCTCACCCCAATGCTGTAGGTTCAAAATAAAGGCAAGCCTCCCCAGCTTCTGCTATTTATGCTGAAGTTAAAATCTTCTGTGCCCCGTGTAGAAACCAACACCGGCCTCCTTCCGAGGTGAAAACAGAACCGCTGTTAGCGACTCCATTCATTGGCAGCAAACCCACGGCTGACGCTCTTTTTGCTATTTAAACAAACACACCGCAAAAAAGCCTTCCACCCTCTCCCCCGCACCCCGATTAATTGTTTTAATTAAGGAAATGCTGTTTCCACTCCAGACTGCTGTTTGCCTGCGGAAAAGTCGCTAATTACAGCACAGGAAAGGGGGGGAGAGAGAAAGAGCCAACGTGGCTTGTTAGAATGACTTGTAAGCAGAGCCGCTGGGGCGGGGGAAGAGAAATTACAGATATTTTTAAATATTGGCGTAATCATTTTTTAAACAGAAGGGGAAGTATAAACACAGCGCCGTGATTTGACCCTGGAGACGAGAAAGCTTTCCCCGGCTCGATCGTGACACAGTGGAAGTTATCCAAAATCCACCACCCAGACCAAGCCAACCCCGTCCTTAGAAAGCCCTAAAATATCCTTTCCCTCCAAGTTAAGATTTCCCAACAAGCCGGCTGGAGAGCTCAATGGTTTAGATATACCAAGCCAGAAGTTGGGAGTTTGAATCCCCCACTGTGTGCCCTCATCTGGCATGGAACTGGTGGAGAAAAGAAGATGGGGACGGGGAGAAACCCGGATATTTTTCCCCGATTCTGATTTGCATCCAAGCCGAAATCTGTAAGGGGTTGTGCTCCTTGACTGGTCTTCTAGAGCAGAGGTCGTCAACCCCCGGTCCACGGCCCATTGCCGGTCCGTGGCTTGAGCCCAACCGGGCCGCGAAGACAGACCTCCCGCCCCCCCGCACGCACTCCCCTCC